TAAGACTCCTGTCTCTGGTTGAGCATACACACATACACGCACACACACACACACACACACACACACACACACACACACACACACACTAATATTTAACAACCACCCATGAACTAATATTTTGTTTCTTTATATTTAACTAATAAGTAGTTGCTTAAGAAAAAAAATCAGAAGCCAGTGGTTCTTGCCTTTTAGCTATTTAGAAAGCTGAGATCCAGAAAACTAAGGTTCAAAGCCAACCAGGGCATAGAAGTCCTCAAAAATCCATCTTCAAAATAACCAGCCAAACGATAGGTTGGAGTTATGGCCTAAGTGGCAAAAACACAAGTTTAGCAAACAGTAAAGTCCTAAATTCAAACCTCAGTACTGCTAAAAAGAAAAGACAAAGAGTGTTTGTTGAGCTTTATGTGTTGGTAGCCTTTGCTCTTGACAGCGATCATATGCCTGGAGGGAAGGCAGGCTACTTTCTGCCAACATTTATGGCATGAGATAAAGGATGGGAGGTTATTTTTTTTTGACATGGATTCACATTGATTGATGATTTGAAATCATCTAAGTGAACTGATAAAGCAAGAAACTTCTTATAAATATGACATGTCAAAAGGATTCACAAAACTTGTGAATCTATATACTTGTATATAGAATTACTGCCTATATGCCAATGTGCCTTAGCTTCAAATTCCAATACTTACAGGAAATATTAAAGATGAAGTAGGAAATATTAAAGATGAAGTATTTAGCCTCCAGGAAATACTATACAGGTGATTTAGTATTAAGTTTAGTTTGGGGATTTTTTTTTTAAGACAGAGAATTTCTGTGTCACTCGGGGTGATCTTGAACTTCCGAGCTAAAACCACCCTCCTGACTCAGTTTCTCAAATAGTTGGGACTGCAGGTGCATGACATGCCACTCACTGTGCTTGCCTTACTAAACACAGAGTTTTAACTACCACAAAGAAAAGCAGTGGGCCGGGTTCACACCTGTATTCCTAGCTACTCAGAAGGCTGAGAAACCAGAATCGCACTTCAAAGCCAACCTGAGCAGGAACATCCTTGAGACTCTTATCTCCAATTAACCACCAGAAAACCAGAAGTGGTACTGTGGCTCAAGTGGTAGCAGTACTGGCCTTGAGCTAAAGAGCTCAGGGATAGTGCCCAGGCCCAGAGTTGAAGCCCCACGACTGACAAAAAGAAAAAGAAAAATGAAAAACAGTGATTACTTAGAGTAATTAAGTTCTTCATCAAAGAGACATGAACCAAGGCTGTAGATTTACTTTCAGAGATTTTTCTGCACACAGAGCTTTTAATGGGCTTCCTTCTTTCCCATTTCTCCTTTCCCATTTCCTTCTTTCCCTTTCTCCTAGATGTTTCAGAGGATTGAGGCCTGGGAGACAAAGGAAGTAAGCAAAAGATATGCAGAGGTGGATGGGCTAAAGAAATTTGGGTTGACAGATTTCAGTAGTCCAGGTATTGCCTTCAAGAAGGGAGTCCCCTGACTTTTCAGTCTTATCTTTTATTAAACATTAAAAGGAATTCATGCACAGCCAAAGATGATAATCACAAGATTATACTTACAAATATTAGATAGGAAGCCATTAGTGTTGGAAGTGTACCTATTTAGTGTGCCTGTTGACTAAAATATTGAAAGCTATATTTCTAGAGAGTATATTTGGAGAAGAGATATTGAAATTCATAAATTATCTGGGTGACAATGGAAATCACTATGCATAATTCATTGGAGAAACATTTGCCTTTGTCTTAATTTAAATCATCATTTCCAAAAATGCATGTCATCGCAGGTTCCACAGAGTTATTCATTTGAATGTATAATTTTCTTTACAGACCTGTACAAATGAGTTAAAAGCAGCTATCATGGAAGTTAATCTTTGTCATGTATCTTAAGTTATTAAATTATTATGCTAGGTTTTCATATCCCCAAAAATTTCTCTTAAAATTGGTTTTTTACAATCTAAATAGCAAAATGAAAATTGAAATAATTAATATCATTGATTTCTATGAATAGCTGTGCTGATGCTTTTAAAGCAAAATGAGCTGGCACTGGTAGCTCATACCTGTAATTCTGGCTTCTTAGGAAACGGAGATCTGAGGGTCACAATTTGAAACCAGCCTGGGCAAAAAAGTCTGTGAGACTTTTATCTCCAAATAACCACTAAAAAGCCAGAAGTAAGGTGTGGTTCACGGGGTAGGACACCAGCCTTGAATGAAAAAGCTAAGTGAGAGCATAAGGCTCTGAGTTCAAGCTCCAGTACCAGAACACACACAAAACAAACAACAGCAGCAAAAATATGCACTGACAGGCTATAGCTGTATGTGAAATCCTTTGATAAGTTCAGCCACTCACTCATTTATCATTATTTTGCCTGAAAATGGCTCTATAGCTATGTTAGTAAATACTTTGGCATTAAATTTCAGCATAAAGACAAGACAAGTTAATGTTTATGTTGGCTGAATTTTTGTTTCAAATAATGGAATAGAAAAATAAAAGAGAACAGAGGCAGAGTAGAAAAATAAAGACTAACGTGTTAATAAAGAAAAGAGAGCAGGTTACTGGTAGCTCATGCCCATAAACCTAGCTGAGATTATAGAATCATGGTTCAAAGCTAGCCTGAGCAGGAAAGTCTATAAGACTCCTATTTCCAATTAGTTACCAGACAACCAGAAATGGTGCCGTGGCTCAAACGGTAGAGCACTAGCCTTAAGCAAAAGAACTCTGGGACAGTGATCAGGCCCTGGATTCAAGCTCCACGACTAACAAAAAAAGAAAGAGAAAAAGAAAAGAAAGAAAGGAAAATATAACAGAGAGTTGGTTATTGCCTTGAAAGCACATGTCTGATATGTTACACTGATTTTTTTTCTCCCAGTACTTTCACTGTTAACATTACATGCAAAGCCTTGCATAAAGCCTTTAGCCGTTGAACACCCCTAGAACATGGTTGTCTTACCAGGACCCCCTTGGAATCTTGTGACAATCACAGCTCACACTGTCTTGAGAAGTGGACAAAACTCTGTGACTATTATTATTGCTTCTTCTTTTTTGTTTTAATCATCTTTCTATGTATCCTTAAAATATATATTAGCCTTGTCTATACTTTTAACTTCTAAATAAATGAAATCATAGTATGTTACTTTTTGCTTTGTCCAATTATTAGCTTTTAAATCTCTCCATGTGTTGTGTTTACCTAGAATGGGGTTTTAAGGTATTTCATTCTGTGATTATGTCAGTCATCTACTGGTCCATTCCAATGTCATTGAATATTTTGACTCATTCTAGGCTTATCTAGAGCATCAATCATAGCATTTAGAGTAGTGTCTCATCCCATTCTGCACTGTATATATTCCAATATCCCTTGCTTAGGATTCCAAGATCTCAGAATATGATCTTTTATCTTTATTAAGAAAATATATTATTGGGATGGGAAGGTGGCTCAGTGGTAGAGTGCTTGCCTTGCATGCATGAGGCCCTGGGTTCGATTCCTCAGCACCACATAAGCAAAAAGAAAAAAAGCCGGAAGTGACGCTGTGGCTCAAGTGGTAGAGTGCTAGCCTTGAGCTGAAGAGCTGAGGGACAGCGCCCAGGCCCAGAGTTCAGGCCCCACGACCGGACCCAAAAAAAAAAAAAAAAAGATATTATTAAGTCAATCACTTTTTGCTTTTCACTTTTAAGTTGCTGTATATACACACTAAAACATCCTACATCTTTCTTTGTGTCTGTCTCTCCTGACACATACACATACACATCATCATCATCATCATCATTATCATCCAGTGGGAAGGTTAATCTATGTAACCCAATTTATGTACCCAAAGCCTGAGCATTCTAAGATGTCTTTTCTTTGGCTATACAAATACTGAAGTTCTGTTTGGTTTTGTTTATTAACTTAGGTTGATTGATAGGAAATTCTTCCTGCATACTTTTTTTAAAAAATAAATATATTTAAAAGGGCATTTTACCCAAAACTCTTTCATTGTAATCATTTCATTATCTACAAGTAATTGTACAAAAGAGTTTCAATTCCACATGTCAGTTTGTGGGCACAGTGTTTCTTGACCCATGTCCACCCTTTCATAATTTTCTCTCCAACCTCCACCAATTCCCTCAATTTCCCTCCCATCTCCTAGAGAATATGTCCACTTGTCATCCATTTTCATGATCACGACAAGCTCCTCAGAGGACCCCTCACCGGAATACAACCATGCACAAAGAGACTTTCTGGGCTCAATAAGCAAAAAAAAAAAAAAAAAATAGCAGATAATTCCTGCTGATTAAATAATACTTCCTGTTCTCTGGGCATTCAACCCATCTATCATTTTCCTCATAATATCTGCATACTTCTTTATACATGTTGCCTCCAAGGATCCCAGTATGCTTCACTTCCCACAGCTATCCTTTGCTGAGCTGACTCTCCTCCTTTAGACAACCTAAGAAATTATCCCCAGAAGTCTTATCCATTCCATTCCTAAACAATCACAGTTGGGCAGACCCCATGAACTTTAAAGCAAAAACTATGTTTACCAATATACATGTTGCTGATATGTTAGCCAGTACAAACAGACCTACAGGTCAATAACAACAAATGTAAGCTGTAAACCATGGGTAGCAATATGTGCTGGGTGAGTATTAGCTCTGCTCAAAAAGTATGAACTACAATATGTAAAGTATTTATTACAGTATGTATCAAGTGTGTAGAAAGTATATAGTATCGTATGTGAACTACTGTAAGGTGTGGTAAGATAGAAAGCCTATCATGGTATTTCTCATGCTGTTCCATATTTGCTGTTTGCCCTTTTCTTTTGCAATTTGTAGAATCATTACAAACAGGGACCAAACATACCTTTACTGCCATCCTGCGTGAAATCTTGGTGCAAAGGAGGCTCCAATGAATACAGTTTTAATTATGTGAAGAGAATCAATATTGAGGAGACTTGTGAAGCAAATCAAGTTCCTATTACTTCCCAGCTTTTAACGCTGGAAGTTCATGAACAATGAATACCTCTATCGAACTTTTCAACAAATCCTGGGATAATGACTTTGCTTATCAAACCCCCAGTATTGTGGACACAGTCATCCTTCCTTCCTTGATTGGGATTATCTGCTTCACCGGGCTGGTTGGCAACATCCTCATTGTATTCACTATAATAAGGTAAGAGTTTTCTTTTTCTTTTTTGTTTGATAATTGAAGAATAAGTTCTAAAGTCTCTAGGAGAATCAAACGAGGCCCCAGGATTTTGCTTCATAAATTCTGGCTTGTAAAATATTTGCTAAAAATAATCAAAAGAGGATTCTACAGATATTTTCATTATTATTGGGTGGGGTTGGAGTAGATTTTGTGTAGGGAAGAATGATGGAAGGGGTGACCCAGGTGGAGATGTGTTATACTCAAATTTTAGAATTGAAAGCCCTTTGTACAAGTAGTTGCAGATAATAAAAATAAAATAAAATAATACCTGAGTTGTAAATCTCAGAATGGTAAATGTAGACCAAAGTTTATTGCTGCTCAGTGAGTTTTTAAAGCAGTGATCCTCAATCTTAGCCACACTCTTTTAAGAATCATCTGAAGGGATGATATATGGTTTCATCTGAAAACCATTACCTCCATCTCTCAATATAAGATTCTCACTGGGGCTAAAACTTCAATGTAGTTGTTTTATTTCCCATTCAGTAAGAGTTATTCTAAGCTGACCTCTTTGGGCTGACGAAGGAAATCCTTTAGTCACTCACTTGGGTGAAATTCTAGCTGATCAGGTTGAAGATGCAGGAAGCACAGATATTGAACTGTTCCCCTCCAAGTAGCCTGTAACCATACAGACCACATCTACTCCCCAGGGCCTCTGCCTTTGTTCCATGTCCCCCTCCTAATTCAGAGCACTACCCCCTTTCTCCCAAAGACTGCAAAAATTAATTAATTAATGTGATACATAAGGAAAGAGTACCTTCTAGGAACTTGACAAAACAGACTTAGAATTTATATACCCACTCTCCATTGCTACGTAATACTATTTCTATCCTAGGTTGCTTTCTTTTTCATACTTTCTTAAATGTCACATGACTGACTGGCAGGGGGAAGGGTTGCTATTTTTTTATTTTATTGTCAAGGTGATGTACAAAGGGGTTACAGATACATTTCAGTATGTGTGCTGCCAAAGTAAACCAAGGTTACAGCTACATAAGTAAGGTAGTGAGTACGTTTCTTGTTGAACTTGTTACCCATCCCTCAGTTTTCTCCCACTTTCCCTCCCCCTACCCTATCCTCTGTTGTACAGATCATGTCCAGCATATTGTCTTGTGAGATCTCTGTTGCATTGGTTCACCCTTTGTCCTTGGTCCCACCATTTTGTTGGGGATGGTTACTTAGCAGATCCATTTATCTGTCCAGTACTTCTAGATCAGAGTCACCTCTTTCATTGCTCACCCCAAACCCATTTACCCCTTGCCCCCAAATGCATTTCATGCTTCTCACTTCCTTTATCACATATGTACATTGAGAATTCTGACCATATTCTTCCCCAGTTCCATCTTTCTCCTCATCTGCTTCCCCTACCAAGTATCTACCTATTCAAACTTGTTTTCGCTTCCTGATAATTATGTTGTTAAACTGTCTGGTAACAGTTCTAAAAGTTTACTCCTGGAGTTTCTTCACTCCTGCCTATGCTATGCATGAATGAAATTAATCATGTGTATATGCATATGAGCCTGTATGCGCTTGCAGAGGACATTCTGATTGTTTTCAGATTTAAGTTCTACTGGTTTTAATAAATGCCAGATGTTTGTTATGGTCTCTGATCGTACTTATCACTGTCCTTTTAAAGATGTTTACATATATTTATATGTCATGAAAGATGTACTGCCTAGTATTTGTTTTCCATATTATCTTAATACATAGCCGCAATAAACCTTTTTTGAAACATATTATACTAAAACACACCCTTGTGGATGCATTTAAAACATCCCAGAGTCAAGACGTGGCAGACCTGGCAAACAGACATAAATCCTGTGATTCTGAATTCGATGCTGTTCTGATGATAAACAAACAATTGAAATTATAAAGATGGCTGTCTTGGCTTTACTTTGTGGATAGAAGAATTTTCTCAAGACCCATTAAGAGCCCCAGCAGCCCTCAAAATAATGACATAGATTTACCACCACAGAGAAGGCTCCTCACTGGCTGCTTTGCCCAGGTAGCTTCTTACCAGACAGCTCTCTTTCAAAGTATTACTGTTGGTGTCTTTGCAGTTAGCTAGAATGGATCAATGGTATGAACATCAAGCACTTTAATTTTTTAAAGGACTAGAAGCAGTTCAACTCAGTAGATATTATTCAAATACATATTGCATGCCCAGCACTGTCCAAGGGGTTATGAAAGTGCCAAAGAAGAAATCACAACAACATCTGACTCCAAAAACCTTATAATCTAGGAGAAAGGGTCAGACTTACAAATATAGAATTAAAACAATAAGTAAGGCCTAGGGATGTATTTTAGTGGAAGAGCATTTGCCTTGCAAGGCCCTGGGTTTGATTCCCAATACCACACAAAAAAACGTGCAAAAATACTTTGGATGAGCAAGGTAGTACAACTTTATAATCTCAGTACTTGAGAGGCTGAGTTCAAGACACAGCTGGGCTGCTTAGGGAGACCCTATCTCAAACTTTAAAACTAGGCTAAAAAAAGATACTGCTTAAAGTATAACTTCCAAGAAAGAAAATCAAAGTAATCAAATACTCCCAGGAAGTGTCGAGAAGGCAATACTGCTGAGTGAACACAGAAATGTTTGTAGTTTACCTCTACTTGCCTGCTGCACTTGTCCACTTCTTCCATCTTTCTTTCCCTCTTGTAGCTGAAGGAAAAGCAGAGTATTGTATAGAGTTCAAGTTTCTTGACTATCTTGTGGATCTAATTGAAGCCACACTTGATGGTATCTGAGACTATGAGCTTGCAGGAAAGGATTGGAACTGTGGAAAGGATGCAGCCACTGCCTGGGATGTGAACAGCAGAGCAGAGAAATACCCATCCTGCTTTCTCCCTCCTGCTCTCAAGTTTCCCACCAGTGCTCCTATTGGCCAAACTAGTCAGCAGCCAATTGACAAAGGGACCTAGGAATAAAGATCTTAAAATGGGTGGAATGCATTTAGTTGATAGCCTGAATGTGAGATTGTATATTTGTCATATTTAATCCAAATACATATATATTTCTGACTATACAAGGTAATCAGAATAGAATAGAGTTGAATAGAAATTCTAGAAAGTGGTAAAAAAAAGATAAGATTTCTAAAATTCAGTCATATCAAGTATATCATCATGTGTTCACTTGACATACTAGTCTGTCATACTTTTTAAACAAATGCTTAAATAATTTTGGAGTCAGGCTAAATACAAATTCAATATTCTTTCTTAAAGAAACAGTATAAGCATTTTCATATGTGACTGTTCTTCCAAACTATGCTATTTAACAGCTGCATCATATAATGTTAGAACGCCATAATTTATTTTATCATTGCTCAGATTAGTGAACATTAACTATGGCTATTAACAATATGAAAAACATATTATTCAGTGTTTTCTTTCTAGTGTTTGGGTTATATGAGATAGAGATCTAATGAAGTTAGGCAATAGAAATCAGAAGATAGATTAAATCTGAAAATCAATAGAGGTTGGATGATTAGAAATTTTATCATTTCTACTTTATTATTTTTAATTTCTGGACTGTCACGTTCAATAAAGCAACAGTAAATGTAACATATTATATTGCTTCAGATTTTTCTTTGTGCTTTGAAAAACGATGTCTAGAACATTTTAACTCTTCTTGTGAAAAAATAGAATCTAGGCTGGGAATGTGGCTTAGTGGTAGACCACTTGTCTAACATCATGAAGCCCTGGGTTTGATTCCTCAGTACCACCTAAACAGAAAAGGCCAGAAGTGGTGCTATGGCTCAAGTGGTAGAGTGCTAGCCTTGAGCAATAGAGGCTCAGGGACAGTGCTCAGGCCCTGAATTCAAGACCCAGGACTGTTCAAAAATAACAACAACAACAATAATGATGATGATAATGATAATAATAATAGTATGTCACTATACAGCCTAACTGGCTTAAAACTGAGGACTCTTCTGCCTCAACCTCCCAAGTGCTGAGACTTCAGGCTGAATCATCATAACAGCTCTTTAATTCTTTTTGATTGCCAGTTAATGATCTGCACTGTCCTCAACCATAAAATTGCTATAACTTTGTCTAGAGGAAGAAAAGGCCCTGAGGAGTCCAATTCTTGCATTTAGGGCATAAGCAAACACAAGATTATACCCAACTTTATGTGCAAATGACATATTCATAGGCCAACGTTGATGAGTTTTATTAACATGAAGTCTACATGATTCCTTGTATCTCTCACTGTCCCTCCCCATTTCCATCGCCCTCCCCCAATGGCCTAGAGCAGGCAAAGAATTAAAGACCAAGTACAGTCTCTTGACTGCTCTTTGGTTGACATTATCCTTTCCTCAAGTCTCCTCTCCCTCTTTCCCATTATGATGAGAGTCCAACCTTCTCAGACAGAGAACCAGCCTGAGATACTGATGGCACCAACAATGAACAGAGTGCAGCTCCTGAGTAAAAACTCCATGGCAGTAATTCCCCATACAGTACATGTTGCCTAGACCTGGGCAAAGAAACCATGGCCTCTCACAGTCTGCGTTACATAATAACTTGACGACTTACATGTGAAGTCTAGAGGCAGTTCACAAATTTCAGCCAATGAATGATGGAGACATAGAATAGCTTCTAAGCACAGAATAATAGCTCTAAACTAAGCCAGAAATTGTGACATAATCTTAGACTTATTCTTCCATGTTTTCCAAATTCTTATTTGTTCTCAGTTCACATGCCTCCTCTACCAAGAAGCCTGCCTTGTGCATGTCTCTAGCTTTGTCTCATCAAATTGGAATGTAGTTGTTCACTTAAGTATGTCTAGACTACAAGTGTTTTCATGGCAGAGTTTGTAGATTCATTAGCTTTGCAACCCCAGAGCACGCTATTATACCTGATACATAACTGGACCTCAATGATGTCTTTTTCTAATTCGTGAACAGCATCTTCCAGATAGAGATACCAAATATTATTGAATGTGTTAGCTTCTTAAATGCTGGTTTTTAGCTTTAAATTTCTGCTTAAAAAAAAACAGTTTAGTAAAATGTTGTAATCCTAGCTATTCAGGAGGCTTAGATCTGAAGGTTGTAGTTCAAAGCCAGCCAGATCAGAAAAATCTGTAACACTTCCAATTAACCACCAAAAGCCAGACATGGAACTGTGGCTCCAGCAGTAGAGTAACAAACTTGAGTGAAAAAGCCAAGCAGAGCACAGGGCCCTCCGTACTGGAACACGTGTGTGCACGCGCGCACACACACACACACACACACACACACACAAAATCTTACAGCAGCAAAAAAACTTGGTAAGCCTGGGCTGTGTGGCATTCATTTCTCTGCCTTACCAGCAGGGGGCGTAAGGTGATTGTCAGTGCCATCAGTTCATTGCTTTCACATTCTTCTCCAGACCTCCTGGATTTCAAACTTTTTACTAGGGGTCTTGGCTATTGAATTAGATTTTGTTGGAATATTTATATTTATAATGAATTATAACAATGGCCTCAGCTCTGATGGGAAAAATGTATTGCACAATGGAAAGCATTTATTTTTTATTGTTTGGTTGTTTTGAGTGCTACAGATGAGTAGACTAAACTTTTTGCTGACGTGTTTTTACAGTTGGTATAATTCATGCCCAAATTTAATGGCTTGAAGCAATAAAAAACGTATTGTCACATACTTTGCAAGGGTCAGATTCCAGGAACAGCTTCAGTGGCTGGTCCTGTCTCAGGGTCTATCTCATAAAGCTGCAGTGGAGTTTTCCTGCAGGGTTACATCATCTAAAGTCTTGTGTGGAGTTTGAGAATCTAACCTCTCATTCCTGGAAAAGCAGGGCTGGTTGGTTGTTGTCAGGGACTTCAATTCCCTGTGGAATTCTTCAGAGTACTTGAGTATCTGGCACAACATGGTGGTCTCCATTAACAAGACCAGTATTCAAGGCTTCACTGTGCTTTTGTGTCCTAATTTCAAATGCTTCCCACTGTTGTTTCTACCATATTTTAATTTCTAGGAGCCATTTATTAAGTTCAACACTCAGAGTGAATTTGATTCTATTGAAAGAAATATCAAATAATTTATGTAAGCCCATAAATTTTTCAAACCACCACAGTTAGTTCTCATATAAATAATTCAACATGTTTAAGTAGGCAAGCCTAGAGCATCTGTGTCTGTTTTCCTTTTAACATAAATTCATTAAGGCAATTAAAATTTTGGAAAGATGTTTGGGGAAATATGTCAGTGGCGTATGCCTTTGATCTTAACTACTCAGTAGATTGAGAGGTGAAGATGGCTGTTCAAAGCCAGCCTGGGCAGGAAAGTCTCTGAGATTTGTAACTCCAAGAAACCAACAAAAAGCCAGAAGTGGGAATGGAGTCCAAGTGGTAGGGCTCAACCTTTGGCCAAAAACAAAAAACAAAAACAAAGGGTTAGAGCACAGGCCCTGAGTTCAGGCCCTAAGACCAACACACAAAATAATTTGTCAAGATGGCATATGTTGAAGAAGGTGTGTACTTCCAATGCTAATCTTTAATCTGGCTTCCTTCCTTTCTTGCAGGTCCAAGAGAAAAACAATCCCTGACATTTATATCTGCAACCTGGCTGTGGCTGATTTGGTCCACATCATCGGGATGCCTTTTCTTATTCACCAGTGGGCTCGAGGAGGAGAGTGGGTGTTCGGGAGCCCCCTCTGCACCATCATCACATCCCTGGATACCTGCAACCAGTTTGCCTGCAGCGCCATCATGACTGTGATGAGTGTGGATAGGTAAGTGAAAACACTAATGCAAGGCAGAGCCACCAAGGTCATTCCAATTAAGCCCTGATCGTGTTGGTATATAAGGGCAAAGTTCTTTTGTTTAACTAGAGGCCTGCTTCTTTAGGAGCATTTTTTTTTTGGCATTCACAGAGGCCCCTTTTTTAAATGTGAAATGTAAAACACTAAACTCTCTACTTTCTCAAACTTTCTTTTTGGTCTGAGTTATATTTACAGTTCACTGCAAGATAAAAGTTCACAAAATCATAAAGTATTAGAAACCAAAATGAATGAATGTTGTGAATGAATGAACAAATGACTGTCTTGAAGGAGGTGCTGAATTCCCCTTGGCTCATCAGGACTTCTTCCCAAGCGGACTCTTGGATGTAAGAAAGTAACAAAAGTGGGCTGGGAAGGTGGCTCAGTGGTAGAGCGCTTGCCTTGCATGCATGAGGCCCTGGGTTCGATTCCTCAGCACCACATAAGCAAAAAGAAAAAAGCTGGAAGTGGCGCTGTGGCTCAAGTGGTAGAGCACTAGCCTTGAGCTGAAGAGCTGAGGGACAGTGCCCAGGCCCAGAGTTCAGGCCCCACGACCGGACCCAAAAAAAGTAACAAAAGTTCTTCAGATGGATTAAACAAAGGAATGACAAAGTCATATAGATCATTCACTCTGACAAAATGACCAGTGATGGGGAAATTTCACACATTTTTCTCCCCTTCTGCTAATCTGTAAAAGAATTCTCAAAATATGAACTGTGCCATATTTTTTAATTAATGTACTGTGTAGGTATGGTTAGCTCAGTGAATGCCAGCCACTGCTGACTGTGTATTGAGGAAAAACTAAACAACAACAACAAGAAGAAATTTCTCAATACAAAAGAAAGAGCCCTGCAAAGATGAGATCCAACATAGACTTAACAATAGTAATCTCATTCTTGAAGATAATTCAAACCTATTGATAGCATGTACCATGAGGCAGCAATACTGATCTTATAAAAAGGTGGGGAGTGGGGGTATTTATCTTGCTGTAAACTTTTCACTAAAAATAAAATGAGTGACATATTCTTCCTTAGAACAGGCTAATTCCATAACTCCTACTGTTGGTGGGTAGGGATGTGTGTGTGTGTGTGTGTGTGTGTGTGTGTGTGTGTGTGTGTGTTTGTGTGTGTGTGTGCACGTGTGCATACTCTGTCCTATATACCGGATAGCATATTTTATATTCTTTTTTTGTTGCTGGGTTGTGCAGAGTATATATATAGCTAAAATTTCACTTTTCTGCTAAGACGGTCAAGACTTTTCCTTCTCTTGGCCCTTAATCTACAGGATCAGGCAGCAAGAGATAGTATTCCTGTCATTTCTTTTTTTTTTTTTTTTTTTGGGGGGGGGTCCAGTCATGGGGCCTGAACTCTGGGCCTGGGCGCTGTCCCTCAGCTCTTCAGCTCAAGGATAGCGCTCTACCACTTGAGCCACAGCGCCACTTCTGGCTTTTTTCTTTTTGCTTATGTGGTGCTGAGGAATCGAACCCAGGGCCTCGGGCATGCAAGGCAAGCGCTCTACCACTGAGCCACCTTCCCAGCCCTCCTGTCATTTCTTATCATTCTAACTCTAACAAATGTATAAGGTTCAACTAAATTGATCTTTTTGTGAGACAAATAGAGTTGTTTCTTTGTAAGACCATAACCCCATGGCAATGCCATCATTAGGCCTTATTATTTATGGATCATGCCTTTCAAGTCTTTCTGATGTCTTTTATGTACGTTTCTCTGATTAGTAATAACTACAAATATGTAAGAAAATATAATTGTGGATCTCTACCTTGATAGTAATATGAAATAATTGTAAACATCCAAAATATTTGCTTCCAGATAAAAACTACTCAGGGGCTACTTTTGTAAATAAATTCTCTTACACAGCAAAAGTCAATAAATAGAAGCCAGAATCCCCTATTCCTTCCTTTCTTCATGCATTCATCAAGCGAAGGGACTACATATTAGGAGGAAGAAGATGTGGCCTGAAAATGCAATCAATGACTTATTCTTCTTCCCTTCCACAGTGGTGTACACAAGCATTAATTGAGGTAACGTGTGAGAATCAGATTCATTTTCACACAGTGAGACACTGCAGGAAGGAAAAGCAGAGTTTTCCTGATTTGCATTGACAGTCATGGATCCTCTTGTGTGGGAGTATGTGGCTGAAGAAGGCTTCTTTGAGAGAGAAACAGTTATATAGGCACTTGAAGGAAGGGTAAGCGGAAGTGAATAGAGGAAGTTCTACCTGAGAGGCAGGTAGAACAGTGTGTTCTTGCCCCTGAAAGGGGGAATAACTTGAAGAACGTGAACGTCCTCCAAAGGCCTTGATGTTAAAGGCCTGGTTCCAAGGATGGTGTTATTGGAGGACAGTGGAACCTGGAACTTATAGCAGGTAGAAGCTAGTGGGATGCTTTTAAGTCACTGAGGACATGCCCTTGAAGGTGGTGTAGAACTTGGGTCCCTTCCTCTCCCCTCTCCCTTCAGGTCACAAGGTAAGCAGTTTTGCCTTGCCATGTGCTCCTGGCCATGCCCGGCAACAGCCCCGCCCCCCTCCAAGAAAAATGGGACCAATCAGCAGTCATGGAGCAAACCTTCAGAAACCATACGCCAAAACAAATGTCTTCTCATTCTACGTTGATTATTTTGTGGGTTTTTTTTTCTTTTTTCCAGTCCTGGGGCTTGAATTCAAGTCATAGGTGCTATCCCTGACATTTTAGGGTTTGTTGTTATTGGGGGGGGAGGGGTTTGTTTTGTTTTCTTGCTCTAGGATAGCACTCTACCACTTGAGCCCCGGGTCCATTCAGCTCTTTTACTGGTGAGAAGAATTTTTTTCCTGCTAGAGCTGATTTCAAACCATAATCCTCTTAGCCCCCTGATTACAAGCGTGAGCCACCGGCATCCAGCTTGGATAATTTTTATAGTAATAGAAAATTAACTGAATTCAAGAGAGAGTCTGACACAAGTTCTAGCCTGTGTGGCATGCAGGACCAGGTAGAGAAAGCCCTTATGAATCATGGTAAGGATTCTAAATTTTAACTGAAAAGCATGCAAAGCCATTGAAGGTTTTGGTTTGGGGTTTGTTTGTTCTTATAACCTTGAGAGATAGGTGATCAGGGACGATTCATTCACTAATAGCATGACTCCATCATTCTTTAATTCCAGTCAGAAGGGTGACTGAGCCACAGGGAAATCACTGTCTCTTCTATTTCCCCGGCAGAGAAGGGGCTCTGTCCATAGCTTAGGTGATGCACGCATGCACTCAAGCATGCGCTGTGCATAGAAGGAGGGGCTGAAACTCTCCCTGCATGCCACAGGATTCATTCAATGCGTGGGAAATTTCCTGACCATTGCACACAAAAAAAGACCAAGAAAACAGAGATTTTTTTTCTTTCGTTTTTTAAACAAGCCTTCATTAGTAGCTCTTCAAAAACTTTAGGAAAACAAGTGACCAACCAAACCAAACCACTTTTTTTACGTTTGTGCAATTCCTACTAATACTACCTTCAACTACTACACACCCTCATCCACACCCCAGCAAAATTACTCTCTCAGACAGCCTTCTTTCTGAATTGCAGCTCTCCTCTGCATTCTTCAGCTTTCAGTTAGCTATTTTATGATTTGCTGAAGGGCCAAATATATTTGAGATGTCACCATTTCAACTTTGAATAATGGATATTCTCTTTTTTTTCCTTCTGGCTCCATAAAGGGAAGAAAAAGCAAGAATGCTCCCCCTCCCCCATTGAAATTATCCCATTTCCTCTCTCCAGTCCCTCATCTCTAGGCCAAACTCCCTGAGGAATCTGTGTTGGCTATACCAGTCACACTGTTCATCTGCCCTGAGAGTTCTGTGACCTAAACTTCCAAGAGCCTGGGGACCATAATGTAAAACCAGAGTCCTGCTGAGGGACTCTCCTAGCAGCCCCTATCCCTTCCTCCTTCCTGCCTCTATGTCACTAAAAACTACTCAGAATTATACTCACTAGACGCTATGTAGAAAATGAACTATACAACTTGTGAGGGACAGGGCTCAGGAGGGAAAAAACTGGGAGAAAACCAGGGAAGAGATGACAGTTTAAAAGGAAATGTACTCAATTCCTGACTTATATAACCGTAACCCCTGTGTACATCATGTTTACAATTAAAATTAAAAAGAAAAATGAAGACGTTGGCAATGCAGAATTGTACCATGCTCAAGGTGCTTGGGAATCGGCAGCTGTTTCCATGAGTGGTTTACTCATCTTTGCAAGGTTAAGAGTTGTTTTCTCTGTGGGTATCAGCAAGCTCTTAAAAAATATAACTTTCTTTTGCCATGATAGAGGTGTGCTTCGGGGAGGATAATAATACTAATAATTTACTCTTGTCATGAACCTTTCATCCTTGGAGCTCAGTGCTTTTATTGATTGTTCGCAAACCCTTCTTAACTGGCTTTGCAGGTACTTGGCTCTCGTCCAGCCATTTCGACTGACAAGTTGGAGAACAAGGTACAAGACTATCCGCATCAATTTGGGCCTTTGGGCAGCTTCCTTTCTGCTAGCATTGCCTGTCTGGATCTACTCAAAAGTCATCAAATTTAAAGACGGCGTCGAGAGTTGTGCTTTTGATTTAACATCCCCTGATGATGTACTCTGGTAAGTTGTGAAAAAAACAAGAAAAATAGAGTTGAATTAAGTTGTGAAGTACTTCATCCTTCCTGTCAACACATGAGCAGCATGGAGAGGGTCCTTGGGGATCCTCTTCTCGCCAGTCTTCCTGCTTAGATTTTTATTTAACACAACCCAGGTGATGGTATGATTTGAAGGATAGAGCCACCTTGTGAAAAGATCTCAAATTTAATCATGCAACCTCAGTGTGCACAAAGATTTAACTATGGATGGAGAGACCCATGGCAGCCAGATTCGGCAGGGCTGCAGAGAGCAAGGAAGGAGAATAATTCCCAAGAAGAGGCGCAGTGATAACCAGACTTAAACTAGATCACTATGTAATTGTAGTTGCCTGAATTGTGATTTCCCCATAAAGTCCTAACCTACCAGCATACCTGTGAATGTGACCTTATTTGCAAAGAAGGTCCTTACAGACATAATCAAACTAGGTTGCAGACATACTAGATTAAGGTGGGCCCTGAGTCCTGCTGTCCTGAAGATGTATTTATGAGCCAAATAACACTAAAGATTGACAAGAATGACAAGAAATAGGGGTTGGGGGGAGCTATGAGTCTCCTTCAACTCCAAAAGGAACAGACTTCTGGCATCCAGAATAAATTTCTGGGTATTTTAAGCCATTCGATTTTGTGGTCATTTGTTATAAAATCTTTAGGAAATTAATGATACAGAAACTAGCACAGTAAGCCAGTCGTTGGTGGCTCATGCTTGTAATCCTAACTACTCAAGAGGCTGATATATGAGGATTGCAGTTCAAAGCCAGCCCAGGCAGGAAAGACTGTGAGACTCTTATCTTCAATAAACCACCAGAAAACCAGAAGCAGCTCTGTGGCTTAAAGTAGTAGAGCATTAGCCTTAAGCAAAAAGAGCCCAGGGATAGTACCCTGGCCCTGAGGTTCAAGCCCCATGATGAAAGAAAGGAAAGGAAAGGAAAGGAGAGAGAAGGAGGGAGAGAGGGAAGGAGGGAACTAGCACAATAATTCTTATATTCAAACTTAGTAAAGAAAAAAATAAGGGAATTTTTTTCTACTTGAAATTTGGAACATCATCAGAATCTATGGCTAACGTTTTTGAGCACTCCTCGGGCTAGGTACTTCTTATATGTATTGCTCAAGTCAGTCTGGCAGAGTGCTTTTCCCACTCTCTCACTTGACTAGTAAAAAGGCATTTATTAAGCTTGACATGAGTGCATGTCTCAGTTTGGGCTGCTGTAACCAAGTGCCACTGACCAGTTAATTCCTAAACAGCAGAAATTCATTTCTCACTCTTCTGAAGGCTGCAAGTCCTGTGATCAAGCTGCTTGATGTGGTCAGTTTCTAGAGAAGGCTCTTTTCTAGATTGTAAGCTGCCAAACCCTCCTTTTATCTTTACATGATGAGGGAGAAGAAAACAGGAAGCAAACTCTAGTGCCTCATTATTTCTCAAAGTCTTCACCCTGTAACACTATCTAACAGTGGAGAGTTTAGGATTTCAGCATGCAGATTTGATAGGAATGCATTTAGTCCAGAACAACACAACATGGATAGGATTGATTGTTAATTTGAACAGAAACCATCAGCCAACTGAAATGTAAAGTGATCATCAACAGGGCTCAGAGACTATCAAGGGCCCCAAGCTATCTAAAAGGAAAACGTATTTATATACTCAGCCTCAGCTCAAACTTTGGCCTGAGTCAAAGGAACAAATGATTAGCCATTTATATCAACAGCTGCTCTTCATCTATTTTTCATGGATTAGCAAAGGGCATTGTGAGAATGCAACCTCTGTCATTCCTCCTGGGCTCAAGTTGTTCAGATCAGTTGAGACTGATGCTACTAGCTGTGCGTAGCACCCCTCTGGTCCCAAGCGCCTCCTCTGCCACATCACTCATTGAAAATCTGGGCCTGGTTCCTTTCATCAAAGCCAGGACCCTTCTAGAAAAGATAATCCCTGACATCTGTGCAGGAAAGGGGTTGGCATACCTGAAAATTCTCTCTGAAAAGCACAAAGGAAAGACTAGCTGATTTAACAGTAGGCCCTCCCCCAGGTCTGCTAAGTAGTCATCTGGAGCCTTGGATATCAGCAAAGGCTCTGGAATCCAGCTACCGCTCTAGGCTCCAATGCCATCTGTGTCAGGTACAAGCTGGGTATATGTGCTGTCTCTTCTTTCACATAAGGACACAGGGGCATTGTGCTAATGGGGTTGCACAGATTCCATGGGCTAATTCAAAGTGCTTAGACAAGTATCTACTTTATAATATATGTTGTGTTACTAACATGAAAGGTAATGTTGATAATTATAAGTAGTCTCTGTTTTTCAGTCAAGGTAGTTGAGTGATCAGAGAAGGGTCAAGCATCATTGTCAATGGATAATGAAAAGTAGGATTTCGCTACAGAATGGCCTCCAAAGCTTTTCTTTTATTCTGTGCTCTGAACTCAAGACTCATAATTCATGAACAATAAATGCCTATAGCTATTGCAATGAATATAATAGTGTTGTCCTCTGTGTGTGTCTCTGTCTGTGCCTCTCTCTCTTATTTCACAGGTATACCCTTTATTTGACAATAACAACTTTCTTTTTGCCCTTACCCTTAATTTTGTTGTGTTATATTTTAATTTTATGTTATACTTGGGAGATGTATCAACAGAATAAGGATGCCCGATGGTAAGTGTATGCTTTATTTGCTTTTTTGTTAAAAGAACAATTAAGACATCACAAAATATCTAAACCAGAAATTTAAGCATCAATCACTTGAGAAAAAAAAAAAGGAGGGGGTGTAAAAAAAAAGTTTAAAAAAAGGTAAAAGTAAAAAAAAAAAGTAAAAATAAAAAATGTTTAAAAGGGGGGGCTATATTATATGTCTAAATAAGTCATGGTCTGAAAATAAGATATTCTAAAAGAGGCATTTGAGGATCTCTTGGTGATAAATGCTAAAATCATTGATGTAGTTGTTTTATAAAAATATAATCATAACTCAAAATTCTATGTAAAATATAGTTTAAGCCAGGTGCTGGGCAGCTTATGCCTATAATCCAAGCTGTTCAGGAGGCCAAGAATTGGAGGATCACATGGTTCAAGGCCAGCCTGGACAGAAAAGTTCACTAGACTCCATCTGCAATATAATCAGCAAAAAGCAGAGCTGGAGATTTGACTCAAGTAATAGAGCACCAGCCTAGGAAGCCTGAAGCCCTGAGTTCAAGTCTCAGTTCCACAAAAAAGAATAATTTATAGTTGGTATTGATAATGTTCATTCTTTGAGCTTTACATTTTGCAGAGTTCTATGCATTTGTTTATATCTGAGATGTGTCTGGCCTTTTAGTTTCTGTGTTCTAATTTTTTATTGGAGAAGAATGATTTCATTAGCATCTAATTAGAAGCAAAGGGTCTTATTCATAGTAGAGGAAGATTAATTAGGAATTAATAAAACTAGACTTATCTAATGAAAATATTTGGAAGGATCTTTAAAAATACATGGGTTTCAAATGCCATAAATAAATATAAATTATATTCAATTTGAAATTGTGCACACCAAGATATTCAAATGAATAATTTAATAATTATGTAAAATGTTAAACACAAATTGTTATTAAATTGAATGCTTTGAGTAGATTTTTGTGTTTCTTCCAGAAAGATAAGATCCCTGGTTTCCATGTACATTAAATGTAGCACTGGGGATTTATTTAAGTGTATATGAATAATTTAGCCCATTCATCCACATTTGTGGCAATTCCAGGAAACAAAAGTTTAAAGTCTATTGGTTTACAACTTTATTGACTTTCTTAAATTTTTAAGTAAAAAGATTACCTTTTTTAAAAGGTAATCTATTCAGAATGGGAAAGGAAAATAGCCAAAGTTATAGAAAAAAATATTTTCTAAATGCATCATTTGATCCTGAGTTGGTGGGAAGGATGAAATAGAATCATATGGAAATTGAGATAAAGGCAGATGGAAAGAATCTCTGAGCTCTCATAAAACCATAAGGCAAATCAAACAATTTTGCTCCTCATACTTTTCTCAGAAATTCTACCAGTGTCTTAGCGAACAAAGTTGACACTGTCCACTTAGGCCTCAAAAGTAAAAAGATAAAGAATGTCTGTGCCTACTCTGTCAAATTCAGAGTTACTGGTCTTAAAAGGATCTTCAACTCCCAGACTTTTAAACTATTATTTATAAGATTTTTATCTGTTTCCCAAGGAAATTGTTATTAAACTCTAAACATGACATGATTTTTTATGTTAGAATGATTTTCAAATTACAGAAAAGCAAAGTTAGCATAGAGAATCCTCATATGTTCTTCCCCTATTTCTCCATTATTCATATGTACATGCATCATTCACATATACAGTAAGTATATCATGATATATTTATTAAGAAATTAGCCATTATGTATTACTATTAACAGCTCCGCCTTTCACTATGCTTCACTGCTTTTTCCATTAAAGTCTTCTTCCTATTCCAAGATTCAGTGCAGAGTGACATGTTGTATTTAATGATCATGTTTCTTAGTCTCCTCTGGTCCGTGACAGTGCCTACCTCTTTCCATGTTTTGTGTGGCCTTGATAGTCCTAAGATAGAATTGGCTTCCTTCCATGTTTTCCTGATACGATTATCATGTTTGGCCTGTAGTTAGGTGTTTGAGGGTGGGAGACAACTTCTCATCACAAATACCAGCTATTACATGATGGTCATGTAACATTAGCCTTGATCACTTGGTTAAGTAGTGTGCCATGTTTCTTTACTGTAAAATTACTATTTACCTCTTTCTATATTCTTAGGAGTAAATATGGCCCAACCTCCTAAAGGGAATATTGGGGAAATTCATTTCTAGCTCCTGGAAAAGGGGGTGTCAACATATCTATAACAATGTTATTTTATGTAAGCAAATATTTACATTACTATGTGCTCAACTATACTTACATCCAAAGCTGAGTTCTATTTCAATACTATTCATCTTGTTTCTCAAAAATAACTCAACTTCAGAACTTTGAGATGTGTAGAACAGGAATGAAAAGCTGCCTTTTCCCGGTACTCTGAAGTTGGAATATAAAAGTGGACTTTTTTTTTCACTGCAAAGCCATTATGAACTGTTGTAAAAATAAATAAATAAATATACTGAGGAGAATGATGAAATGGGTGACACGGCTCCAGATGCCTTGTATTCATAAACTAATGGGTTGAATGGTTTCTCCTTTGGGTAACTGCCTAAAGAGAATAAAAATATGATTTGAAAAAATTTAATTAGAAATATATGCTTTCAAGCCATTACGAGCTGTTTAAAGTTCTAAGAAATCCATGCCCTGTAATTTCTGTGGTAGTTCATGCTGTGTCTCTCTCCTGGGTAGTTACAACCCCAGCCTTCCAAAGCAGAGAGTGATGAAGTTGACAAAGATGGTGCTGGTGCTGGTGGCAGTCTTCATCCTCAGTGCTGCGCCCTACCACGTGCTTCAGCTGGTGAACTTGCAGGTGCCGCAGCCCACTCTAGCCTTCTACGTGAGCTATTGCCTCTCCGTCTGTCTCAGCTATGCCAGCAGCAGTGCCAACCCTTTCCTCTATATCCTGTTGAGTGGAAATTTCCGGAAACGTCTGCCTCAAGTACAGAGAGTGAGTGAGAGGAAATCAACAACATGGAAAACTTCCTGAAGTCAAGCTTTTAGAACAGCATATGGAGTCCTAGTTCCTTACCCGAGGTTGGTCTATGATAGTGATAGCATTGCAAGGACCGGTGAAAACTCTGTGCTGTGTCTGTGGTAAGGCAGTGTCATTCTTCAAATGCAATGAGTTTGCTATGCTAAGACTTCAGCGAGATGAGAAGTGTACGTCTGTATCAAGTAGGAAAATTGGGAAGTGTAAGATACCTAACTAAGGTCTGTGGTTGTGTGTGTTTAAAACTGATCGCTGTTAGAAATGGTCATTAGGGACAGGGATGTTGGCTTAGTGGTAAGGTACTTGACTGGAATGTGTGAGGGCATGCTTTCGACTATGCTCTTCCTCCACACTGGGACCTCACTCTTACAGAGCCCTGAAGGCTCCTGGAAGGGGACCACCCCACAATGAGAGCTAAAATTTGGCCATTTATATCTATAGAAATACCCATTTCAAATACCCATTTCCTATGGCCCCATCTAATATCTTGACAAGTTTCATCTTTCAGAATAACTGTTACCCTCTATTTCACAATAAGATTGCAAGTAGCAACCACACAAGATAAATATTATTTCAGTGTTCTAAGGTTCAGAAATCCCAAGAAAAGGGTTAAAAGGTAGCACAGCTACCCAAGAGCTTGGCTGAACTCAGCTCTATCTGTTTGTCTTTTCTGGTGCACCACCAAATAGCCTGTACTTCAACTGGAGAGAGCCAGTGACTTAGTGTGTGTCTTGCTTTCTCCTACAGACCCAAAGAACTAAGGCCTGAAAAAAACAAGTGTGTTTCTACTTTATGTATATTATTTAAAATGTATCATTGTTCCAATGCCTACTAATTGTAGAAAATAGTCTTCCCATTTTAATAACTGTGCCTCACTTCAAGACAGTATGCATCATTCCTTTGGATTATAATTTATGCTTATTCAAGTTACAAAATGTTATTTGTTTTCAAACTCATGGATATTTATTATATCCTTGTTCTTCATTTGGCCTGTATAAAACATGCAGTCTGGAATGGAAAATGCTTTTAAAGCTTGTGTTCTCAACAAAGGCAAATATTACTTTTTTGGTGTGGATGAAATCTGTAAGCCCATCTTCTTTGTCTAAAAAGACAAACTTGTCCATGAATATCTGGAACTGATTTTTAATCAAGACTTTTTTTTAGATTAAAAAGACTCACAGCGGCCAGCTCTTTAAGTGCTCTGAGCTCCATTTTTATATCTCCGTTGTATTTGAACCAACCTAAACACAAGAATTTGAATTCCGTGTGTCTGGCTAAAGGCCGTTCAGAAACCATTTTGGAGTAAGCAATAGCTGAATGCTTTTCTGCGTGGGTGGTTACATAAGCAAATGGGCAAACTACACACTGACATGGATCACATCTGTGGATCTGAACTCCACAGCTAGAGAGCTGCACACAGAGGCCAAGTGCTCCTCTATCTTTGTGGAAAGCTGGGTTGTGACTTTGATATGAGGGACTCATTTTTCTAAGGTGCAACAGTCTGGATTCAGTAAATATCCCTGATATCCAAAGACCCAACAAAACAGGTCAGCCACACATGTTGTCATTTAGTAACTGTTTAATTCCATTGCCTTTTTTAATACAGAAAATATCATCTTCAAAGCCAACAGACATTTTTCTAATAGCATTTCTAATAGTTTTCAACTAATGCCAAATCTAAATTGGTGAATGACTTATTCTAATTTATATTTATTAAAAGTTGCAAAGGAGCTTTAGCACTTAACCAAAGTCAAAAATAAAAAAGTGACATTTAAATTCAATGTTGTGCCTTTTATAGCTTTACATAGCTTTCTATGCATAAGTCTATTTAGTGTAATCTTACAGAGGTAGTTTGTACATCATATTTATACATGTACTCTCATGTAAAATTAATAATGATCCCTTGTAATTACACACTTAATACTTGAGTTTTGGGTTATGTAAAAATAATTGTATCTCTCCTCTATGCTTGTCCAACTATAGTTGTTTCATTTAAACTCTGTTCATTAATAACAACCAATGAGTAAAAATTGCTTTATATTGATGTACTCCTGGCTTGCAACTTCTACTTGCAAGATTTCCTTACGAAAACGCTTAATATGTTTGCAGTACAGTTTCTGTTGAGTAACTTCTAATGATTTCAGAATCAGTAAAATATATCCATACATGAACAATGGCTTGAAAAGCACTCATCCTACCATATTCCTAGAACTCTAACCCTTGTATTGTTTTTACAGTCCCAGAAATTACTGCTTTTCATGGTTAATAATGTCAAAAGGTCACATCACTTTGGATCTAAAGATACTTTAGAGAATATTAAATGTTGCAGATGAAATTCTTATAAAAGCTGGCCAGTATATGTCCACATCACCAAATGAGGAATGAACTTGAGACTCACACATGAAAAGAATTTCAAGAATCACACAAGGAGAGGTCCACAAAGTAGAAATATTTATTTTAGTATAACAGGACAAAGCATGGAGAAACTGGGTAGAGGAGAAGAAATATTTCCTACTCCCCTTAACAAAAAAGATTGTTTTTTGTCAGGTTCTGGTGGTTCATGCCTATAATCTTGGCTACTCAGGAAGCTGAAATCTGAGAATTACAGTTTGAAGCCAGCCTGGGCAGAAACATCCATGAAACCTCTTACTGCCCATTAATAAGCAAAAAAAAAAGTTAGAAGTGGAGATTTGGCTCAAGTGGTAGAGCTCTAACCTTGAGCAAAAAAAAAGGCAAGCAAGAGCACAGAAGCCTGAATTCAAGCCCTATAAAGAAAGAGAGAAAAAGCGGGGGGGGGGGGGGGGGGGGGAGGGGGGAGGAAGGGGAGAGAAGCTGAGAAGTTGAGAGGGAAAAGGAAGAGAGTAGAGTAGGGAAGAAAAGAAAGAAAAGAAAAATTAGAAATGATGGTTTTATCTGTGGTCTTTATACTTTCTGAGCTGGGGGAATACATGTTTCATGTTGTCTAACCACCTATAATCATCAGATAGCAGTTCTGAGTGGCTAAAGATAGGTACTGTTAATTATTCTAAAACATGCCCCTGTACTTATCATGAGCACAGTGACTTTTAGGACTTCTCTTTGCCAGGCCATACGTTCTGACTTTGTCTCTGTACCATTAGTGGAAGAGTAAGCAGGAGACAGGAGTAGATAAACCCTTTTTGACTCCTTATTCTTGTCATTTTACATCTACAGCAGAAGAGAGAGCTGCTATGGCTTTTCAGTTTTTACTTCCTGGTTCTAATGTCTGAGTCTGGTCCTTTTAGTAATTACTAATTTTAATTTCTCTGTCTACTTACATTTCCTGCCTCTCACATTCACAGAGTGAAGGAACAATTAAAGTCCAACCCTGAGTCATTTTTACTCAACCACAGGCCCTTCCCTTGCAAACAACCATAAGAGAAGAAAATTATAATTAACACTTAATTCCTGTAATGAATTCTTGAGTGTTTAGTGAGTGAATCAAGTCTGCATAGTCAATTAAAAAATAACCTACTCTTTAAAATTTACTTGGATTTCTTATCAGAATGACCATATATTAATGACCCTATATTTCTGTTTCCTTCATGAGTTCTATGGAATCAGCCCAAAACAAAACAGAAAACCTACATTTTTTTCCTTAGTACTCAATTCTTTTTGTCAGCATCTCTTTATACCTAGAATCTCCTTCATTCCACAGAGAGACCTCTGTCCCATCTAAATTTGAAAAAAGCACTACCACTTTGATTCCTTTATGACTGCATCCTAGCAGGGAGAGTATTAAATTATTTGATTTGCCAGCCAACATTAGCTTAGATATAGCTATAGCCCTTTAACAAGATTGTGCTGATTGGTATCTTGATTTCTGATGTTTGTAGATTCACCATTAATATATACTTACAGAATGTTCTACATCTAATGCACTGTGCTGGGCTCCACTGAGAATAATAATAATAATAACAATAATAGTAATGATTTACTTAAGACATTTTTCCTATCAAAAGCAAAACTACAAATTTAAGGTTCTAATTACTTTTATTGGTGTACTAGACTATAAAATTGGATCAGTGTTTTCTGAGCTGAGCAGAGAAGCTTATCTTTATAAATAGAAATGAGCTGAAAGAAGCAAAAAAAAAAAAAAAAAAAACATACAAAAACTAGTCATTTCAGCCACATACCTGTGCTCATACCTGTAATCCTAGCTGCTCAGGAGGCTGAGATCTGAGGATCACAGTTGGAAGCCAGTCTGGGCAGAAAAGTCATGGTGAGACTCTCATTTCCAATAAAGTACTCAAAAAAAAGTCATGGTGAGACTCTTACTTCCAATAAAGTACTCAAAAAAAAAAAAAAAAAAGCCTGAAATGGCACTGCGGCCCAAGTGGTAGAGCACTATCTTTGATCACAAAGAAGCTTAGGGACAGCACCCAGGCCCTGAGTTCAAGCCCTAAGACAGGCAAAAAAAAAAAAAAAAAAAGTCATTTCAAAGCCACTTTCCTTATGAAGACAAAGGGAGATTTAACTTAAACTGTCTCATTTCAAAGTTCAGTTTGATTACATGGCACTCCACACTGGTTTGACCAGGACTGCTAGGCCCAGCTTAGAAAACCAGTGTAGTATAGTTTCCCCAAAATCTTGTTGAACATCTCATCACAAGAACTGAAAATCCAGTGCCTTCTGCATTTACAGTGTATCAGTTTGACATGCTTAGTACACCACTTAGTTTTAATGGTACCAATAGTACTTAGTTTTAATGGTACCAAGGAGTTGAACCCAGGGCTTCATGCATGCTAGGCAGGCATTCTACCACTAAGCCACATTCCCAGCCTGAAAGGATTCTTCCCCAAGTAATTTTATCACCACTTACATAGGTCTAAACCCAAACACAGTAATTAATCCTAAGTGTCTAAAATTAATTAAGCATTTATTTATTTTCAGGTGAAATATTGAGTAAAATGTGAATAATTTTGAAATAAATGTATTCCTGTTACAGGTTGGTGGTAGCAGAGATGAACATCTCCTGTTCTTGGTATCCCCA